TATCAAAGGCGCATATCACCTTGCTAGTTGGACCACGGAATCAGGTTTTCCTAGCGACTAGGTTATCAAACCTACCAATAATAAATGGACGGATGATCAGACGGGTCTTGACTGGATGAAATACTTCGACAAACATACTAAGAACCAAACGAAGGGCGTCTACCGGATGCTCATTATCGACGGCTACGAGAGCCATTTATCCGCCGAATTCGACAATTACTGTAAGCAGAACAATATTATAACGGTCAGTATGCCTGCATATTCGTCGCATCTACTACAGCCATTGGATATTGCGCTTTATTTGCCTTTAAAACGCATATACGGTAATGAAATTAACCTATTTATTAAAGCCTCCATAAAGCATATTACCAAGTCGGAGTTCTTTATTGCCTTCCACCAGGCCCATAATAAGGTTTTTAATGAGGAAAACATCAGGTCTGCTTTCCATGGCGCTGGAATTTCACCATGGGACCCAGACTATGTTATCAAAAAGCTTGATGTGCACTACACCTCCTATGGCCAACCCTTCAACACCACCACCTTGGCAGTCGCAAACGCCCTCTAACCCACAACAAGCCGTCTCGCAATACAACTTTATCAAAAGCCGGATCTCTGCTCATAAAGGAAGCTCACCGACACCAATTATTGCTGCAGTTAAGCAATTGTCAAAGGGTGCGCAGGCAATGGCGCACTCAATCACTATTTTGACTAATCTGCTTTATACCCTTGAGGATTTAAATATAGTACTTGCTAAGCGTTAGAGGGCTAAAAGGTCGCTTATGCAGCTCAGAGGGGGCACTTAGTATAGAGGAATCTCAGGGTTTGCTGGAAGAGAAACAAAAAGGTAAACGTCCAGCACCTCGAGAGGATGAGGAGGGGGGTCCATCAAAGAGAGCCCAGCCAGCTCGGAGACGCTGTGGTATGTGTGCCGAGACCGGTCATAATGCGCGAACCTGTTCCAAAGATGTCGAATCATCAGGAGATTCTGATAGCGACAACCAATAATTGATTTAATGCGTTGTGGTTGAGAAATACTAGATGTTGTTGTGGACGTGGGAAAAAACGTCCGGCTGACTGGTCCGGCCGGCTGACTGATGAACCACGTTATCTATAAAAGTTAAGAATTTTAATATGTTAATATACTCAGTATAATTGAGATAATTTAATATAGATATGAATAAAGTAGTAATAAATAAGTAGGCCATTATAGAAAAACCGCTAACGTACTTATATAGCGAGCGAGGCACGTCCTCCTAATTCTACCCTATTCATCTTTAGGACACCTTTTCTCTACTTGCCCTCCAAGCTATTGAAAAAGACCCGAAAATATCTATATAATGAGCTGCCTCTACCTTTAAGGTCCCTAAATTAACCCTCCGCTACTAATATACAATACGTATTATATAAGGCGAAAGACGGCTAAATTTAATAAAGATGACTATAATAGAAGAGGAGGTGATTCTTAAACGAATTATTAACTTAATTGATCGAGGGTTCCCTCCGTAATAAAAAGATGTATAAGAAATGGCCAATTGACTCTTAAATATATATAATAGGACGTATAATAGACCCCGATAAGCAGGGACCTTCGTACAATACGTCCTTAAATTGAAAATACAATTTTAATATTAAATCGACTATCAAAGGGCCTTAGCTAAGGATCTTATAATTATATGAGGCTAGTTTATACTCAGTTATACAAAATATAATTATAAAATATAGGATAACGTATAGGATAACGTATTTATAATTGTAATAAGACTAGTTTCCTAATAGGAATGCTATCGTACATAAAGGTTATTACAACTTCTAACTATAAAAGAAGGCTTTATATAAAGCAGCCTAGTAATCGGGAATGGGGTTTTATTATTTAGGGTATATATATAGATAGCTAGGCGATGCCTCCGTACGTCATTATAAAATGTAAATATCACCTCCTCTCCTAATACACTAACGGCTAATTCCTAGCTATATAGCGTATATATCCGAGCGAAAATAGATGGACGATAAATGATATTGGCCTAGATTGGCTAAAGCACTTTAATTAGTGTACAAGGACTCGTACGAAGGGCTCTTATCGCCTCTTAATCCTTAATAGCTATAATAACTATAAATCGACTAACTTTAACGAATACTATGAGGAACAAAACATTATTGCTCTTTATATATCTCTCTATCTATTATACGACCTTCAGCCTTTTAATATTATGTTAGGTACTTTAGCCCGTTAAAGTACTCGTACAGTAAGGAAATCGAGAAGATAATACGGATATAGATTTCGCATATTATAAAAGATAACTTCTTTCCTACCTTTAAAGCAGCTTTCTTTACTTTAATAGGTAAAAACAACGTACGAGCTAGTTTTAAGTAGGCAGGCCTTATACCTTTTAACCCTAACGTAGTCATTTCTCGCTTGGATTTCAAGCTAAAGACGCTAATACCATTAAACTTACGGCCAAGCAGCCAAGGCTCCTAGGACCCAAAGACACTAACTACAGCACTAGAGGGCGTATAAAGTACTACCTCCCTTAAAAAAAAGATCGAAGCATATCAAAGTAGCTCACTAATACTAATATACGAAGTAATTAACTAGTAGGCCAGAGGTATTAGCAAGTTAGCCTATAGGCTTGTTATTATTAAGGCTAAGAACCGTAAGCTTCGTATAAGGATAAAGGTACTAAAAAGCGGCGGAGGGTAAAAAAGACCCGGCTACGTCTTGGAGGGTGTCACGGGCTAGAGCCCGGTTAAGATCTCCGGCTCTGCCAGAGCTACTATTCTGCCGTAATACACCGCCGAGTCCGGGCGTGTTATACTATGGCCATATACGTATCCCTATAATTCCTCCTTTTCCTCCTTAGCTCAAAATAGTTAATCAACGGCACCTCTACGTTGAACAAGCCTAGGGGCCAGCCCCTTATAGAGGATCACTTAATACTACCAAAGTAGAGGCATTATAAATAGAAAAGGGTAGTATTTATACTAGAAGAAAGAATAATACTTAGAAGGAGGGTCGTACGGAAAGTACTAAACTATATGCATAACGATATAGGAATTACGAAAAGCCTAGATATAACACACTATAAGGGGCTGGCCCCTAGGCTTGTTCAACGTAGAGGTGCCGTTGATTAACTATTTTAAGCTAAGGAGGAAAAGGAGGAATTATAGGGATACGTATATGGCCATAGTATAACACGCCCGGACTCGGTAGTATACTACGGTAGAATAGTGGCTCCGGCCTGCAGTATACCCGAATATAATAATCCAATATAATAATCGGTTATTACAGGTCGCGGTCGGACAGCTTCCCAGCAGAGGGGTGTGCGTGCGGCTCCGGCACGGCCGGAGATCTCAACCGGGCTCCAGCCCGTGACACGCACGAACCTATAAAGTAGTTTGGGATAGTAATAAAAAAGAGGGTAATATGTAGTTTTAATTAATTTTATATGTTATGGCTAAATTAACTTATATAAAAGGTAGAAAGGTCTAAGAGAGTACGTCGCTTGCTATAATACGTCGCTCGCTATACAAGTACGTTATATATAAGTATAACATAACTTATACTGTTAAATTACGTAGCTAAACTATATATTATATTATACAATTTCTTTTAAATGTTAATTTTATTAAAATTATTCTTTTATATCTAGAAAAAAAAACCCCCCTACTATATACTCAGCGGGCTGATAATATTAATCGTTTTAGATACGTTTACTCCTCTCGGGCTTGATTAATTTAAATATTATTTTATATTTAACGTAACTAAATAATTATTAAAATTAAACTTGAATATGAAGCTCGGCTATAAAGATTGAAGACGGCCTAACGTATCTAAGTAATTTATGATTAGATTAAAACAGGAATTAATTAGTACTATGTATTAAACTACGAGCTTCTATAGTGGTGATCCCGGAGTGCGGCTTGAATGCACTACGACGAGGTCGCCGCGCTTACTAAGGTGGGCCTTGAGCGCCATGGAGGTGCCTGGGCTAGCGTCGTGTGGCTGGCCATCTGACAGAATGCGACCGTGAAAATTGTTGATTATGTAAGTGCCTTCGGCAGCTATGAGAGTTCTATTGGCAGTGGCACACAGTCAAAACAGCCAAGCCATGATACTCATGAGTTAAGAATGGCCGGGTTCGTAGATATAGATTCGTATTTGGGCGTCGCGACCAAGCCTCCTTCACATTGGCACTGTGCCAAGGAGACTCGGGAAACAATGTGAACTCTTCATTGGAATGCCCGAATGGTGACAACCACATATGGCTTAGCAAGGTACATTCTCAGACTCGAATGAATAGCCGTATTGTGATTTCGAGCTATCCATACTGACCTGGATTGAACTGTACATACCCCAGTTTCCTATCCAGCATTCCATGCGTTCAACACCCCAGGTAATTATGATACTCATCTCTCTCCTCACGAACACAAGCACCGGCTTTGAGAGTAGAGGGATTCCTCGGTAGTCTTGGATAATGGTCCGTGGGGTCATGTGAGGGATGAACATACATCAATAGGCAGAGAGTTGACATTTATCTGTACTAGATCAAAGAAAGTCGGCATGTCAGCGTGACACGGGAGGTGAGGCCGCGCAGGGAATGAATGTATGTAAGCTAATAGATGACCTTCATAGTGATACTCATGTCGGAGTTGACTGTTGGCTGCTGTTACACAATGCACATGGCCAGCAAGGTCTCCAGCCCACACTGTGTTCTGCCTGCCACCGTCACAAACCAATGAGAGCAAACGTCCCGTGCGCTCGGCCAAGCCAAATCAGGCCTAGCATGAGAAAGTGTGACTCACACTCTCATTCCGTGCAGGGGTAACGCTTCCTTCGTGTGGGCGCAGTTGGTTGCCTTGAGCTACATCTGGCTACGGTAGTTGTGCAGCGCATCCGTGCTCTGTACACCAATTTCTGCCCTTCGCGTCGCAGCAGGATACATAGTCCCGCGGTATCTTTCCAACAACAGGGCTTCGCCAACTGCGCCCTTCGCCCTGTTTGCATGTCCGGGAGTGCCGTCCCACAACTACCCCCATTTCATTTTTTGGCCTATTGCTGCCTTTCAGGCTACAAAAGGTCGCTAGTCCCTCCGCGCCTTCTCATCCACCTGCCTTCTTTTCCCTTCCTCAACACCACAATTTTCCAAACTACGATCCAGAATTACACACCCAAAGAGGCTCGCCAAAATGCGTTAAATCATCGTCTTCAGTTTGATCCCGCTTCTAAGCTCAACAACATTCAGTCCACAACAATTCACAACATTTCTCCGCTCCACACTTCAGCTCAACCTTCACAGGTCGATCTGAACTTCACTACGGCTCCCAGCTCTAGCTTTAGTTCCGCCTCCGCAAACATTCTACCCCGAGACTTTTCAGTCTTCACCACGGATTCCCAATCACCATGGCTTCCCTCCAGTTCACCCAGCCTGCCGGCACAACCCGCGCAACAGCCTCAGTTCAGTCCACCGGAACAGTCTCCCCAGCAGGACTTCGTCTTGTTCGATCAGCCTCGCACCAGTCAACCTAGACACTTGGCCGCGCATACCGCCCTCGGTCTAAATCAACGTCGTCACTCGTCGCACCAACTCCGACAGAACCCTCAAAGTCGCGTCCATTTTCAACAGAAGCATCGTCTTGCCCAGATCCAAGCTTCCGGATCCCACTCTCGGTCATCTTCAGTGTACTCCCCCGCTCAATCAGCTCAATTCTACGCTTCGTCCGCTCCGTCGTCTTCAGCTGCTCTGAATCGCCGCCAGCGTCCTCCTGTGCCATTGTTCGCTCAAAGTCTTCAGGGTACAACCAACAAGATGGATATCCAAGGTAAGCCCGTTCCACCGTGTCCTCCTTCTGGACTCTACTCATGCGACTTCACAGACCTTGACCTAGAGGATTTCACCGGCTTCGAGGGTGGTGCTTCCACCACATACTCGTCGCCTGCAATGCCCTCGGTCTTCGACGTCGGTCCTACCAATTTAGGCACCATTTCTCCACAGGACCTGCTCATTCAGGAGCCCTTCATGTCTGCTCCAAACTCAACAGCCTTGACTGCCCTTACATCGCCGTCGATATACAACGAGTCGCCAGACTTCAACGATGGCTATGATGTCTCTCCCAGCTTTGACTCGGGCGATTTTGGATCAGCAGATTTCGACAACACCACTGGTGATCCTTGGTTCCCCCTCTTTCCCCAGGAGTCCACCTCCGTTGCGAAAGACGTTGCCGGTGTCGAGGAAATCCAGAAGATGCAGACTGATCAGTCTCCTGCGCTCAATGCCGATGACCTGGAAGTGGTCGAGTTCACTTCTACAACGGGTCGCCGGAAGTCTGTTAACTCTTCCCCAACTGGGTCCGCTCGTCACTCGTCGGTGTCGGGTGTGAACTCCCGTCGACGAGACAAGCCGCTGCCTCCTATCATTGTTGAGGATCCCAATGACACCACTGCCATGAAGCGTGCACGCAACACGTTGGCTGCACGCAAGTCTCGTGAGCGCAAGGCCCAACGGTTTGAAGATTTGGAGGAGAAGATTCGTAAGCTTGAAGAAGAGCGTGACCACTGGAAGAGCATCGCTCTGGATCGATCTTGAACTGTTCCCTCAAACCGCCAAGGCAAACACTGATGAACTGGAGGGATTAGGGTACACATCGTGCATTTCCTTTAGTAACATCCCTTCTCCTAATCATCAACTGCTTTCATTAGTCCTGCGTGTCATTCTCGGCTGTAGTTAAATCAATTCACATTTTTAGAACTCCCGGACTTTCAATTGACCAAGCTTTACGTGAGGCTGTACGTACTCCTTAACATGGTGAGCCGATCATACTCGACAATGTGACTGAAAGGCTTGTGCTGGTTATCAATCCTACATTGTTCTGCATTAACGATGCCCACCCTAACACATCAGTACACCTAACTACGCTGTCAAATCTCCCATGATGTATATGTAACACACATTGATACTACCGGCCTAGCCGTGCCGGTAGCCGTCGTCCCAAACCGGCCTTCTGCTCTCCCCCTCCGAGTTAGCTTTTCAAGGCCCCGCCTGTGTTGCAAGTCTTTCGACAACGCTTTGTCGTATTACACACATGGCGATCGCTGGAACATCACTTGGTCTGTCGCTTTGTCAACAATGTTTGCCGACCGTTTCGAGTCTATGATGACTGCCTGCCTAGCAATCCTTATTATTATTATATATAAATACAGCAGCGTCGAACGTCGTCTTTGCGCGATAACGCCCTTTTCACAATGAAGCAGGTCTCGTGTCGGAGCTTTGCGGTGGTGGCACTTCGACAATGCGACTAAGGTGACTAGGTGGTGCTTTAGGCACCACCTAAAGTCAGTTCCCACCCATTCGCTCGCCGCCAACACTAGTTTCGAGAATTTCGTTGTTGATGATGTCTTTATGCCCATCCCTGAAGTCCTTCATGAGTGACAAGAACCGAGAATTTTTCCATTTGTCTCCTTGTTCATGTTGAACCGAGTCGAGGATCTGTCTCGCTGCCTCCGAAATATCCGAAGTTGACTGGCCGTGTTCTGCAGGTGTTTGATCTGCTTCGTCGAGGCCTAGGCGTTCCAAGTCGGGCATGTGGTCCGAAAAACTCGCTTTTGTTGGTACATTGACGGCACCAGTCTCAAGTACCGAGGGTGCGCCGGATACTTGTTGTGTTGTTGAAGCCGTGGCAGCGAATGCTTGTATCCTTTGTGCTTCACCTTGCTCAGAAACATCTGATGTAGAGGTTGTGGCAGTATCCACAAAGCCGCCGATGGTACCCCTGGATGATTGTGTGGCGTCTTCCGTTTGTTGCTCTTGCTCCAGTTCCCGCGCAAGCTGTTCCATGACGGTGTCCAGATCCTCCATCTGCCCGTCACCGTTGGCCGCCATCCACCGATTCATCTCAAGATCAAAATCAGCTTCGGTGCTTGTAGCTCCGTGATTTATACCGGCTGCAGAACCGCCTTGAGGCCCGAACAACCAAGGTCTTGAATGCGACCCCATCGCATTCTGCGTCAGCCCGGCTGCAGGCGCTCGATATTGCGAAGAAGGAAAACCTGTTATGTGACTTCCAGCACCTGGCGGCGCCCTAGAGAAAGTTGCAAAATCTTGCGCCCAACTCGATGCTCTCGGTGACGATGTGATAGACCCATCTTGCCGAGAAGCTGTCGGAATCTGTGACGCAGATTGGTAGGGGCTGGGAGAAAAGATTCGACTGTCAGGAGCCGCTGGTGTGTGGAATGTTTGTAGTCCTCGAGGAAAGCTTGATATGGGCGAGCTGTGGGTTTGGGGAGTGTTGAGGCTGACTTGTCCAGTTCCGTTGGAGTCAAGGAATTCGCCAAAGCCTGCTTGAGCCGGCGCCGAAAAGGCTTGAGTTGTAGATCGAAATCCCTGTCACTGTTAGAGGAAATACGTGAGAACACGGGGGCGATACTCTGTTCCTTACTTGCTGGGGACTAGGAGCACTGGAAAACCGATCTCGGTGCAGGCTTCGATCTTGAGCGCCATGGTCAACGAGGCCCTTGAACGGCGTAGAGCCGCTGCAGGAAGCGTCGGCCATGATGAGGAGGCTGGCGAAGGCTTTGTACGGGAAATAATCGATCGTTCCGGCCCTTAAGGTATACTATGTTATTCGAGTTCGCAATGAAATTGCTAGTAGTGTCCGAAGAGTATGGGTTTTGGTGTTTGAGACTGATCGCAGTCCTAAGGTAATGGGCGGTGTTGATCGAGGATTGAGAGCGAGCAGGGACCTATGGTGCGTTAAGAGAACAAATTGGTTGTAGAATGATAGACTTCATCGCCAAGCGCCACACAATATTTGAGTAGGGATATGGAGAGGAAGTACCCGAACGGCGTCTGGTAGGCATTCATAGATAGGTAGGCCATGTGAGGCTTTCATCGACTCGGACAACGGTTTACCTCGGCACCGGCTTGTACGTACCTTTGCGTCAGCGCGGCACCCACCCGTTATCGGGACTCTAAGCCGGAGCGGGGGGAGGGGGAGGGTCTCAGGTGTGATAAACAGGAGGCCCCAGGCGTCGATCTTGAGGGAGGTCACGAGTCTCAGGTCACGGGAAGATCTCACCGCCTTCCTAATATAATATCCCTCCCTGGCGCTCCTGCAATACGGCTCCGTCCCGTTAGCCAAATTGGATCTCAAGCTTGGGCTAAAGCCAGCTGGGAGCTTTCGACTCACTTAGGTGGCACTTACAGTGACACTTTGCCTTTTGCCTTGCAACATATACCCAGGACTTGATTCCCTCCCGCATCAACCCATCTGATGTTTTGATTGAGCGCAGTCCTCGATTTACAACATCAGCTATTATTCTCTGCAATGGTACGGCTTCCCACTCTGCACTTGGCAATCCGCTTTGCTAACATGGCTCTTTTACTTAGGCGTCTGCCCAGGTCATATCGAATTCTGGTCACGATGACATGATTGTAAGTGCTTTTGCAAATCTTGCTTGACATACCCGATCGCACGGTCTTCGTCGATACGGGAAAATATACATCATCGACGCCTGTGCCATGACATGCGATAGGCGGGCGCCTCCTTCTCCAGCACGTTCGGTCAGGCTAACATTCCGCCTCCTCTTAACAGCACGATGCCGTCCTCGACTACTACGGACGTCGCCTTGCGACATGCTCAAGCGACCGAACCATCAAGATATTCGAAATCGACGGGGACTCCCAACGGCTTGTTGAAACCCTGAAAGGGTAAGGATCGCACATTCCGGACCTTCAGAAACATAGACTTACTACTCCTGCTGACTCTGTCGCAGACATGATGGCGCAGTTTGGTGCGTTTCCTGGGCGCACCCCAAGTATGGAAACATTCTGGCCTCAGCAGGCTACGACGGCAAGGTCTTCATCTGGAGGGAACAGAACAATCAGTGGCAGAAGATTTTCGATTTCGCTCTGCACAAAGCTTCCGTCAATATCGTCTCTTGGTCACCACACGAGTCTGGGTGCCTCCTGGCGTGTGCTTCTTCGGACGGCAACGTGAGCATACTCGAGTTCCGCGACAACAGCTTCGACCATGTGACATTCCCAGCCCATGGACTGGGCGTGAACTCTGTCTCCTGGGCCCCGGCCACGGCACCTGGAAGCATCGTCAGCAGTTCTCCTGGTCCTGGTTCGGCAGGTGTGAGGCGATTTGTCACAGGCGGCTGTGATAACTTGCTCAAAGTCTGGGTTTTCGACTCGGCATCGCAGTCGTACAAGCAGGAACAGGAGCCCCTTGCTGGCCACACAGACTGGGTTCGTGATGTCGCATGGTCGCCGACGGTACTGCAGAAGTCATACATTGCGTCAGCTTCCCAAGATAAGACGGTCCGGATTTGGACCTCGGATTCGTCGAGCGCTGGACAATGGAATTGCAAGGTTCTCAACTTTGATGCAGCTGTGTGGAGAGTCAGCTGGTCTTTGAGCGGCAATGTACTCGCGGTCAGCGGAGGCGACAACAAGGTTTCGTTGTGGAAGGAGAACCTCAGAGGCGAATGGGAGTGCGTCAAGAGTATCGAGGAGTGATACAGATATCCATGTAGCGTCATAGGCAAGGCGTTCGCGGCAAAATAGGGCATAGATGGGTTATCGTGCATTTGAGTCGTGGATTTAATGTCGTTATGGACTTGATGCAAGCGTTGCGGATGACATGAAACAAGGCTGCCAGGCCAGCACCGCTAACACAACGCAGATATCTACTGGCGTGAACAATGTATTTCTCGGCTTAACCAACCATTTTTTTGCTCTTTGGAGTCAGTCACTTTCATACCAAAAGTGGCTGAGGCTGATTCTCAGCGAAGCATGAGCCCGACCACGCCCGCACCTCCCAGGAAAGCAAACACCGAGATCGCAAGGCTGCCAAGAAATGTGAGTCGAGAGGGGACTAAAGTCGTAGCAGCGTCTGATGACGATGTTGGAACAGGGGCGGCTGAGGTACTCGTCGAGACTGAGACGTCAGTCCTCTGGAGGACATAAATCTCCCCCGTCGAGTCCGATGTCATGAAGAGTCTCTGCTGACTATCCCAGGCAAGTCCTACCGGGCGAAAGCAGTTGTCTGGGCAGCTACTGGTGTCTGCGTTGCTTAAAACATCAGTGATTGGTGTCCGGCTGTCAGCCGGCTCTGTGGGCTCTCCGTTCGAAAATCGTATACTAGATAGCTTATACCCAATAGCCTCGTCTCGGTTCCCTAGACCGGTGTCAGTTATGCGACTAGATCTGGACAACAGAGCTCCGGCGCTACTTACAACTGCCATGGAAAGTTACAAAGGCTTCTGAGCCATCGGGCGTGAATTTGATGTCCAATGGAGCAGTGTGCGCCTGGAAAGATAGTCTTGGGGGCACATAAGCGGAGTTGCAGGTTGTATCGTTCAAGGTAGATGATGGGTTGAGAGTGAACTGATCTCCTGTGGTCATGTTGCCTCTGTTGGGAAATCCCTCGGTCGACCAGACGGCAAAGCAATTTGGATACCCGTAGTTACCGCCCTGATCATTGGTAGAATCACTGAGACGGCCATGAAAGTTGAGTTCTTCGGCAGGATTATCAGTGTGAATATCGACATTGTTCCTCCTCAGCTGGTCTGCCGAGTTCTCTACAGTCCATATACCGCCTGTGACGGGCTCTTCTGCCACGCCGACAGAGTTCCGCAGCCCCCATCCTAGAATAGTTCCCTGAGTTGGGAAGTTGAATGGCACTGAGTTCTCGTCGAGGCTCCCGATGTCAAACGCGCGAAGCTGAGCATGCCCAGCGGACTGGCTGATCGCACCCTCGTCGATGTTGGATGCGCTGCCTCTCGACACCAAGAGCGTGCCTGGACTTTTGTTGGATAGAAGTAACGTCCGGGTGGTATGGTCAGTATTGCTCATGTTCGCTATGAGGGTCCTGTTCCTATCGCCAACAGTGGCGGCACTGCTATCATATGGCCAGGAATATACCTTGTCGGCGGTCGAGGCGTACAGAGTCTTCCCATCCGGAGAGAGGGCTATTCCGTGGTTCAACTTTTGGTCGCCGGACACATTACAATAAGTAAGCTGGCTACTACACCTAAACGATCTTCCAAGAGCCATGTCTTACCTCTGGAGAATCGATGATAGTCCGTTTCTCGGCCACAGACAAGCAAGTGCCGCCGTCGTCAGTCAGCTTCAGATGTTTTACCCCAGAGTTGGCATCGACAACCAGAAGAGCTCCTTGATCGTCAAAAAGGATACTTCTAGGCCGAGTGAATCCGTTCGCGATTAGACCGTACGTCCAGCCACCGGCGGCAATAGGCGAAGTGTAAGTCGCCTTCAAAGTATTCCAGCAGTCCTGGGCTAAGACCGCAGAGAATTGAGTCGCGGCAAGAACGTGCAGAGAAAACAAGAAAATCATGTCGTTGGTAATCGGCATGCAAATGCGGGGATGGAGAAGCACGAGAGGGTAAAACGCGAATAACCGGACCGGACCTGAAGTCGTTGTTATAACTGGAAGCGGCTGGTGTCACCATTCTATGACGGAAAGATCACCTTGCGTTGCAGTGAAACTTAGCTTGGACCGACGGCTCAGCCAAGAAATGATGCTACACTTGTTTGTGCCGGGGGAGCTTGGCTAGGATCTAGAGCTGCAGTAGTGTGTGCCTGACGCTGATCCCCCCCAAGAGAATGAATAGGGAAGGGATGCGCTGTCTCTGTGTTGTGAGGTCGCATCTGTTTCAAGATGATGCATAGAATAGATACCACTTGAGGCGTAAGGCATTTTGTCTATGTTGTCCAAGACATGGAGACAGAAGCCAACGTCTGGTATACTACGTGATATTGTGAGTATAAGTGGACAAAGCCTAGGCTAACGGTTCGAGAACACAGCTGGCAGTGTGCCGCTCCTAGCCAAGTCAACATGGTCTATACTTGAAGTCACAGCGTCTACTACTCCCGTTATTGAAAGGACGAGAACATCATCACTGGGATTCTCACAAATGTCAACCATGAGCCCAAGTATCCAAGAAGCAGGCTTTAACATACTGATCACGTTGAGAAAAGCACTTCTAGGAGTACTTGAGCCCGTTTCAGCATTCAAAGACGTGCTTCTCGGACTTTACGCCGAGGTATCTCTGGACACCAACCCAAGCCTACTGGAACTGCTGACCGTCGTTCCTTTCCGCTCGAATGGTAAGCACAAGGCTTAGATTTGCTGCTGCTCGAAAATTGTCTTTCCGGGAAGACGCTCTTGTTTGATTATATGAAAAATGACCCACGACTAGTTTTTTCGCCTTGGTCTGACGCACCTATGAACACGCTCAATATAAGCCTCAAATAGCGGTCTTCGCCATTGATAACGAACGTTGCCTATGCATGGCCGACAAAGCCCACCAACCGTTTCGCGTATGTGTTCGAAGAAGTAGACGCAAGGAAACCAATATTTCAACCCGCAAAGCCAGGCTGCGCTACACCATTACGCCCGTTCCCGACCTCTCGCCGCCCAAGAAAGTAGCCAAGCTTATCGGCCTCATCGGAGGCCGATCACGCTCATTTCCAGGGTCCAAACGCGCCTGATCCAGACCTTCAGCATCCCCTCAACGCCCTCAACACTGTCGAGCTCCACGCCTTCCCACCAGCAGCGTCTCGCAGGCTTCCTCCAAAAGAGGAGCAGCTTCTGCGCCATGCCAACAGCATTACTGCCCATATCGTTGCCTCTGATGTCGCTTCGAAGGCGTGCCAATGCTAGGCTGCAGACAACCGCCTTGTTTGGTTCTCCTGCCCTGTGACCCCAGTTGTCGTTATGGTTGAATCCGCTAGTGAACAATTAGCTCCATGCTCGAGGCCAGCCATTACCATACCGGGGAAAACTTACCCTGCTGTAAGCATTTCGATGAGGTGGGCTTCCGTAGTACCCGGCTCATCACTGCGCTTAAGACCTGAAAAAATGCCCGTCTGTTGAAGAAGGGCTCTTCCAGCAGCTCTCTTGACTTCCATCATTTCAGGCTGCGTAATATCGGCCCGCGGGGGTATGACGTAGAAGTCGAGATCCTCTCTCAGAACGATGATGCCAGCTCTCTTCGACGAGTCGTCTCGTGAGCCCATTGGGTCTCCAGTCGCAGGATCCTCCTCCTGAGAAACGCTCGGAGAGGACTCAGCAGGTATCGACTGTGCAACGGTGCGGAAAAAGTCCAGCATATACTGCAGGGATGCCGGGTCATACTGCCGGGATGTTGTCAACAATCGATATGCGCCATGTATGTTATTGTGCGCGGAAGAACCTGTACTTACGTCTACTTGTACTGCATCGCCCTCAGTAAACCCTCCCATGTGCCCCTCGGGGAATAGGCCGTTAGGGAACAACGACAGGAGGACAAATTCGGGCAGTGTCAAGAGTTCGTCCCTCGACAGAACAAATCGGGTGCCCCTGCAGACAACAACCGTTAGCGTTCAGAGTCGGACGTTGCGTAGAAGTAAACCCTACCGGAGGTCCATCGCGATCGTCTCGTCGGCGCCAACATCTGTCATCATATTAGGCTTTAACCGAATCGTCCAGATCAAGTAGAAACTCACCTCCAATTGCATTGATAGGCGGGCCCCCTTGTTGCACCTGAGTAATAATACTCGACGCGCCTCCGGCGGTAGCCATCAGGAAAGCGAAAGATTGGAGTGGACTAGGTCCCTCCGAGTATGCTGGGGGTGGTTCGGCGTTGTCGTCCTTTGCGGAAGAGCCCCCTTTGGTGTCTCGGGGAAGCGCACGCTTTGTTTCTGCGAGAGCGTGTTCAAAAGAAGTCGAAACCGATTGTTCTGCAGAGAAATCTGGAGCTAGAGATGCATACGACGGCGCAGCAGGGGATGTTCCAGCGACAGCGACAGTGATGGCGGAGCGGAGATCGTGAGCGGGTTCGGAGGGCTTCTCGAGTGAATCGCAGACTGAAGAGAAGGGTGGCGGCCGGGAAGTTGATGCTTCGGAGGGATACTGAGGAGGGGGCGACTGGGCGCCGAGACTGGACTCGCCTGCACTTTCTTGCTCGGTCTTTGCTGGTAGCTGAGGGGAGTCTTCTTCTTGAAGAGTGGTGACTGTACGCCGGGCGGACACGGGCTGCCCGTTCCTGACGTGTTGCGAGCCTGGCAACGTGATGGCGGTTTCGACAGGGTATCGAGGATCGGATCGTAGCTAGATACAAAGCAGTACGGTAATTCGACCTCTTCTTAACTAGTTGCAATTGATGGCATTCGTGAATAGGCTTTGTTTTCAGACGCTAATGCGAAAGCCAAATGAATGGTCTATCCGTAACGGAGATTCCAGTGACCCAAGTGGTTTGCGAAGGGCAGACGTGCAATGAGAGAGGGAGAGAGAGAAAGACGGGATGCTCGCGAAAGGGTAGTTCGTTTAGTACGGCGCGAAACGGGGTGACAAAGGTCGCCTTGCAAGCGCAGGGGTGGCAGGTGTATCTTGGGTCTAGAGAAACCAATGGTCGCTCGCGAGTGTCCGAGCAAATGGCGGATGGGAAATTGGTCGTTGGGGGGCAGTTTGATGAGGTAGAACAAGCAGGGGAGGATGGCGGCTATTTCCTTAGTGACCAAAAAGGCAAGCCCAGGTACGATTGACTGTACTTCGTCCGGATAGAGCACCTCAGAGGCTCAGTCTGCTTTGTTACCCGCTGGGGTAACCCTGAAGTACGTACCCAGACTACCTGGGCTTACCTTAAGGTAACGGAAGGAGGTGGTTGGTAACTTGGTGCAGCCAACGAACGCAGCCTGGGCTCATGGCAAAGTAATAAGCCAAGGTACTCCGTACGGATAAAGTACATCAAGGTAAGGTAGGTAGGTCCGCAAGTCTGTACCTTGACTGAGTTGCTGAGGTACGAGATGCCTCTTACCTTCCTCACAACCATGTTTCCTTCTGGATGACGGCCAGCAGTGTCACTGCGCGATTTCCATGCATCTAAGCAATACGCGATGATCTCACGTGCCATGCCGATGGTCTGGTCACATCCTTTAAAACCTTTAATCCCTATAAAAACACTAACATACCTTGGGCATGTCCCATTTTTTGGCCAAGTGGAAAGCAATGCTGTGGTGGGATGAACAAACCAGCAGGAAGACCCAAGTCGCCCATCTCAAGACAGCGTCGTTTCCCCATTCAACAAATGCATTGACCACCATGCTTTGATACCCTGCACAACCAAACTCCTATCCGCTATTTATTATCCTCATCCCGAGCATCGCGGCATTCTGGTGATACTTGCGGCTCCTCAGCTCTATCGGCTTCTGTCGTTGAACCCACAGTAAAGACGATTGTGAAATTCTAATACGTGCTGTTTCTTGGAGAGACATTCTAGTCAATCCCCATATCTCGGCTTCCGCTTATGCAACCAGAGCCAGTTTGTGGTGTGCGGCATTCATCCTCCCACTCCGTACTGCAAAAACCTTACTCGATTTCACGGAGTCAAAATCGAAGCAGATAGGCTTGAATACCAGAAAGCACGGAGCCATACCGCACAGAGGGACCTTCTTGCTGGTTGTCCCCTTCACTTTTGAGCTGTAGTTCGGTGAGTGTAAGGTTACGTGGGCTACCTTATCCACGCGCTTTCACTGTATCGTCACGGCATCAGTCTCAATTAAGACAGTTGGCACTTACTTCATTCATCCTCGTCACTGCTATCACCAAATATTGATTTGAAGACATCGTTGCTTGGTCGAGAGGCCTCGCCGGTCTCGCCTTCGAGCTTCAAGATGTCGGCCGTCGGCTTCGACAACTGCTTCGCCACATCGGAACCCAGCATGTCATCCACATCTGCGTTCGTCCCACGAACAAGCGGCTCGTGGGGCGTGACCTCACTGGCAGACACTCCGCAGGATGTTTTGCGAGGCTCTGATGGAGCCACTGCATCCGAATCTGGTCGCGAATGAGCGGGAGGTCGGACATTGAACCGCTTGCACAGTAACCTGGTCGGGAAGAAGTCTGTAGTCAGCCTCGTCATGCGCCCATACATTCCCATCTTGGCCGCTGTTTCAAGAGGATCTGCCTGCCCAACTGGTCTCAGGGCCTGCTGCGCATTGTGAGCAGAGCCTACGCCTGCGCCTTCCTTGGACCCAGTCGAAGCTGTCGTGAACCGTGTTGCCATGAATCCTGTCATTGGCTTGAATAGCTGAGCACACCCATAAAATTCTTCGATCTCCTTGACATAGTCACCTTCCGTCATGCCTGAAGGCTTGGCGGGAGCCGAACCTCCGAAGCCCGCGGCATCCTGTAGATAGAGCCGATATCTCGACTGCTTGGCCTCGTCGTTCGCATAAGGCCCTCCTGTGACTGATCCTCGACTCATTGCGGCAATGGCTGTTTCTTTGGCCAAGACAGGTATGCTTCCTAACCTATCTTGCAGCTTTTGCTCTGCCGTGCGCGCATGCTTGGTCGGAACCTCGCCTTTGGCAGGGGGGAGATTTGTTCTGCCAGTGGCCGCAGCCAGTCGCTCGCGAGCAGCCGATGACATGTAGTCAAAAATCGATTTGCCGGGCAATGTCGATTCACCCAGAAGCAGCGCGCGAGATCTGGGGTCATGTTGAGCCGTCTTGGCAGCGTCTGCTGTAGAGATATATGCTGCAGTTGCGTTCCCGCCGACAGGGCGCTTCGTTGATCTCCAATCATCGGGTACAGTCGGGGGATAATATGGCACCGCGGATTGTCCAGACAGCCGAGACTCAACACTTTGGCCAAGAGTGAAGCCCTTGAGCGGCAACTTCCCATCAAGGCATCGCATCTGGCCATAGGCCTTGGCCGATGAGGATTTGGCGATGAAGACCGGTTTCGACCTCAACGTGGGGTTCGCCGACAGACTGGCTGGTTGCTTCTTCTTTTTCCTGCTCTTGTCCCCACCTAGGACTCGATTGTATGATATTCGTGGCCCAATGTCGTACGGATCTTCGTCATCTGAACCGGTGTCATTCAGTATGCCCACGCCCAAGCCCCCACGTGCTGTCTGGCTTTGCTTCCCTGTTTTGCCAGAAATACCGAGTGCAAGTTGGTGGCCATCCGCAAATTCATCGCCGTTACTTCTTTCCTCTTCCATGCCAAGTTGATCTCGATTCGTCCGTGTCATGCCTGAACCAGACAGTTGAGAGAGTTTTTGCTCTCCCGTGAAACCCAAGCCCTGGCGGTTGCGCTTGCGATTGAACTCTATCATGTTGACATCGTCTGGAGCGAACAAGTGAGTGTTTTCAGTAGTTGCATCTTGAGTGCTGGTCATGACACCTAGGCGGGCGGTCCGTCGTACTTTGGGGCCAATGCCCTGCCCGTCCTTCCAGCCCATCTTTCTCAAAAGCTTGAGGCCCATGGTATCGCCATTAGCTCTTGCTAAGCCAGTGAAGTCGCCAGCGTGATGCACATTATGACCCGAAGCTCCAAGAGCAGAAAACGGATCAGTTGTCTGGATGTTCTGAGTAGCAGCAGCGTCTGCGAGATCCTCATCGTCCATGTAGTCCTCTGGGCGTTGTTGGCTCGTACGTGGCTCGTTTTTGCGACGGTTCGTGCGACTTGAGACGAATGTAGACGGCGTCCATCCTTCCTTGGAGCCAACTGTATTGAAGTATCTGGTTTTCTTTTGTCAGTCAAATGATAGCTAAGTCTGGCCCAGGTGCTGGGGGGAGACTAACCCTGCGCTCCATCCACCCGTGAAAGCCCCGTGAAGACGTCGCCTTCCATGTTCATCCCTTACTTCCTGCTTATGTACTGGAACATAGGCGCCATCATCGCGGACTTCCGGGTCAAGCGGCGGGAGAGGGGTGCCAAAAGCGACGTGTGCGGCGGCTTCATCATGCAAGTCAGCCTCGTAGATAGCATGCGACCTCTTGCTACGCGACATGTAATGACGACGGTGAACGACTGTGTAGGCTTTCCTTGATCAATGTGTCACTGCCTCTATCCACCTTAACGAATCGAGTGGGTGTCTGCGTAAAATATGTCAAGTTTACGGCAAAATGAAAGGCAAGCGGTTGGAGGATATTTATCTCAATAATGTTGGGCCAGGGCATGCTTGGGGATTATAGAGGTGAGGTGGACCACCTAGGTACCTACCTAGGTAGGTTAAGAAGAAATTATTATCGATAAGATAAGATAAGGTGACCAACCATCCGCGACAAATGATAAGGTACCGGCACCCAACGTGCCAACCCAGGCCAAGGCCAGTAATTTGTAAGGTAGCTTACCTAGGTCGCGGGCAGCACATGGGACGAGGTTGCTATTGTTATTCTATAACTTCCAAGATACGCAATCTACTTCGTAAAGGTACCTCACCTCACCTAAGTCGCTCTGCATTGTAGAATTAGTACGGATGCCCAATGGAACCAAGGTACCGCAAATCATTGCGCTAAGGCAAGGGCACTTGAGTCTCCAGGCAAGTACTTTTCTCCCGTCAGTTGCGGATGGAGTCAAAGGAAAGAGTACAGGTGAACTTGCCCATCACCTCCGGGGGGCCTTCTGGTCCCCCTCATCTTTCCGGCGTAGCGACGAGTCTTTGAAGATCATTATGGCTCAGGTCTACCCGTACGGAGATTGCGGCACCGAGTGATACCGAACAGGACAAAGTTGGAATTCGGGAAAGGGGGAATAGACAAAAAGATGTACTCCGTAGGTATTTGACGATGCTTGTCTCGCAGTGTATCAACCCTTCCTCACAGCCGCCCCTGGTGTAAAGTGCAGTGATTCATTCTTTGGCGCGGCAGCGTTTGCAATTTCCCATGGATGCGTATCTTCACGTAGCCCCCAGCGTGCGCTTGATGGATGCTGGGAAGTGGACTGGTGGAACCTGAAAAGGCTACGAAGTACCTGTAAAGTGTAGACTGTATTTCTGTACAGGGTCGGGTCAGACATGGAAGCGTGCCAGATGTACGTAATAACGAGGCATTTCTCATTATGTAGGTATTCTAAATCTAGTCTGCATGACAGCCGCCCTGTGATTGATGAAGAATCAGAAGCAAGGTAGGGCAAGCTACCTAGGATAGGATATTCTTGGACTCGGCTCTGCATCAACATTTGTCTAAGACCCAAATATGTGCTCCGTATGGAGTATGGTTCTTTGTCTTGGGAATGGATGTGGGAATTTGGGAACCTCTTCTGGTTCCTCCTGCATGATATCCTCGGTTGGTTCATGACTCTTGGGTACCTGACTATCCGTACTGTGCAAGGTAGTCCGTGCTGTTGCAACTTGCTCGGCCTGAGGTGGCCTACCAAGGCCCAGGCCATTCGCGAATTCTCCAGCTATTCGTGGGCGTCCACGGCCTACCCGACCTTATTTAGGCCCAATCACACCACACTTGAGGAGTCGGGACTGGTATTGGGCAACTGCTCCAAATTCATTGCGGATACCCCATTTAATCACAACCAGATGCTGATCAGCGCAGCTTGATGCGCAGGACTCAGAGCCCTTGTATTGTGTACGAGACTTGAAAGTTGAGATTGCAAGTTTAAGGCGCATCGTGAAGTTCTTTTCTGGTGTTGTATCCGGGATAAAGAAGAGGGTTGCCGCATGGTTGCCCATTGTTTCCTTCCTGCCTTGGCTTGTCTCGCCTGAGGTACCTCGAGGTAAGGTTCCTTAAGGTAGTGTAAAGTAGTTAGCCCATGTACGGACAACTGGACCTACCATGCTATCGGTTACTCTAGGTACGTTTGTCTGAGGTACCTTACCTTGCCGAAGGCAGGGTGCTTTGGGAAGCTTAGGCGAAGAAGACTCTGCGATAACCCAACGTGCCAACCAAGTTAATCCGAGGTTCTCCAGCGCGGGGTCTGCATTCCTGCTCACGGCTTCTGTCGTCATTTCTGATGAACCTGATTTTGGGTAAACTTGTTTCTGCCCTTCCCGGCCCAATTCTTCAGGGAATGGGATGTGAGATAGATAGGTATCCGTATCCGTACCTAGATGCAGATAGTCGGACACAGGCATTCTGCGGGTACATCGTACCTTATTAGAGCGCCTGCCATCCGACACACTAATTTCCCAAGGTACGGGACGATATGTGCCCCCCTGACGTATAAGGCAAGGTAAAGGTGAGGTAGGTCGACATGGCACCACGCCAACAATAAGGTGGCGCGCCCCGTCAAACAAAGACGCTGGAAAAGGAGATTTCATTTCGACCTTGCTCACGATCAAGTCGGCCTAGAACACCTGTCTTGAGCAACAAAGTGGTTGCGTCTATCCATGAGTTGCCAATTGGAAGCATGATGCAGTCGTAAGTACGGATGCCTGAGCTGGAATCTGGAGGTAAATAGCCGTAAGGTACGAAGTAGGTAGGTAACCGACGGGACAAGCGCCCGGGCAAACACAACTTGAAGTCTTGAATCTTGACCAACCTAAGGCAAGGTACCAAAAGTTGTAACTTCACTTCCACCTTCTCAAGTTTTCTCAATTCTCCTCCTCTCCTTCTATCGCTCTCCCCGCCCTTCCTACTCACTCCTGTCCTTCTTTGCATGCACATAGGAACACACAGACAGCACTCACGCCCGCACGCCCTCATCAGACGAGACTGAACGATCGCCTTCCTTGCTTTGCCTGGTGTGGATACCTCAGCCAGCTCTCAAATCATCCTTGCAGGGATTGATCATTGCCGCTCACTTTTACCTTAGGTTCCATGAGTCTTGTTGCGCGCACTTTCTCCCTCCTCCCCCACCTGCAACTACGGATACTCATCAACCATTTGTCGCTGTTTTCTCTCTCTATCTCTTTCGCTCTCTCTCCCTCTGAGTCTGACCGCTCGTCTGCTTCGGTGCCTCATCCCCGACAAATTTCCACTTTCGCTTCGGACGGTGCAGCGCTCGCCCTTCTCAGTGCCTGCTTTGGAACCTGCCCCCTCGCTCCCCTCCCCTCCCCTTCAACCGTACGGATACCTTATTCTTGTGTGGAACTTGAAGTAGGTAGTGGAGTCGGTGGTTCCCCAGCCCCCCCCCCCCCCCCCCATACCTTACTACGTACCCTCCATCCCATCCTGAAAGTGTCCTACCGTACCTGACCTCACTGTTCGGTCCACGTTCTGCCTCTTCCCCTCTCGTGTCGCCAGAGGAGCCGGAGACTGTGCCAGCGCCAGCGCCAGCGTCAGTGCCAGTACTCCGTACACACAGCGAACCCTCGCAGTGTCACACCCCCGTTTCCTCTCTCCTGCAATGACTGCAGCAATCCCGGCCACCACTGATCTGCCAGCACATCTTCCTCCCCAGGCTCCCCTTCCTCTGTCTCGCTCTCAGTCTCAATCTCAACCATCGATTGCGCACCGCTCCCTCTCCACCCGAACCCGGCCTCCTGTCTCCGCCTCTGGCTCTGGTCCTCCTTTACAGCGTGGCTCCTCCACCTCCAATCAAACCCACAACCATCACCAGCGCCGTCACCAGTACAGCGGGAGCCAGCAACTTCAACACCGCTCTCACTCTCGACAACCCTCCTCCACCCCCGCCACCGTCCCTGCTGCTGTCGCTTCCGCTGGCTCAGCCGCTTCCCATTTCGCTCAAGACATTCTCCCGCAACATGAGTATGAAACACCAGACGTAGTCTTCCACTCCAAGCGAAACGCCCCAAGCCAACACCCGCCGTCATCAACCCGCGCCGACGCTTCGCGTCTCCAGCGTCACAGCAGTACCAGATCAAACCATCGATATAACCACGCTCCCGACATGCCCGCGAGCACCGCAGTCGCCAACAACGCCGGGCCTGCTCCCGTCAGCAAACATGGCGGGCCCGACCCCCGGAGCCCAGGCGCGCCCACCTCGAAGCACACGAGCAGATCGCGCACTACGATACCAACCCCATCAGGAAAATGGATCTTGGGCAAAACAATCGGTGCTGGTAGCATGGGCAAAGTGAAGCTGGCCCGCAAGGAGGATACAGGCGAGCAGGTATGTTTCTTTCCCCTCCCATGGCCTTCCATACCTCTCACCTAAGCGTGTCGTGTTTGCTAACTCACCCTCCTTCCCAATCGCAGGTGGCCTGCAAAATTATTCCCCGCGGCTCGACGGAAGATACACAACATCAGACTCGAGCAGATAAGGAGAGGGCGGACCAGTCCAAGGAAATCAGGACCGCCCGAGAGGCCGCCATCGTCACCCTCCTGAGCCATCCCAACATCTGTGGTATGCGAGACGTTGTACGCACCAACTACCATTGGTACATGCTCTGCGAGTACGTCAACGGCGGCCAGATGCTCGACTACATCATTTCCCACGGCAAATTAAAGGAGAAGCAAGCTCGCAAGTTCAGCCGTCAAATCGCCAGCGCTCTCGACTACTGTCACCGGAACAGTATTGTCCACAGAGACCTAAAGATCGAAAACATTCTGATCAGTAAAAATGGAGATATCAAAATCATCGACTTTGGGCTGAGCAACCTGTTTGCTCCGCGCGGCCATCTCAAAACCTTCTGCGGCAGCCTTTACTTTGCCGCCCCGGAGCTACTTCAGGCGAGAGCCTATACTGGGCCCGAGGTCGATGTGTGGAGTTTCGGCATCGTTCTTTACGTTTTGGTGTGTGGAAAGGTGCCGTTTGACGATCAGAGTATGCCCGCTTTACACGCCAAAATCAAAAAGGGGTTGGTGGACTACCCAAGTTGGCTCTCAAGCGGTAAGTTGCTCATAGTAGTGTGCAGCGACTGGTCTGTATCTAACATGGCGCAGAATGCAAGCACCTGCTATCTCGAATGCTCGTAACGGATCCCAAGCAACGTGCAACCATGCAGGAAGTCATGGTCCACCCGTGGATGACGAAAGGTTACAACAGCCCACTGGATAACGGATTGCCTCCGCGAGAACCTCTCTCGCTCCCATTGGACTCCGATGTCGTCAACGCCATGACTGGGTTCAACTTTGGCTCACCAGACGCCATCAAGGCCCAGCTGGAACGAACAATCGAGTCAGAGGATTACCAACGCGCAGTCAAACTCTACCAGCGCGAAAAAGAGCTTCCTCAGCCTGCCAAAGATGTGGAGAAGAAGCGCGGCTTTGGCTTCGACTTCTACAAGCGGAGGAACTCAGGCACCAGCCGTGACACGTTGACGGCTCCTAGTTCTGAGGCCCTCCAGCTCGGCAATGATCCTCTCAACGCGTTCAGTCCCTTGGTTTCGATATACTACCTGGTGCGAGAGAAACAAGATCGCGATCGTGTGGAGAAGAACCCTGGCGCTGCCAGTGCACACAAGGAGAAGGAGAAGCCTGCGATCCCTGAAATTACGCCGCCGCAAGAGGCTCACACCAATTCCTCTACCTACGAAATGCCCGGCGAAAGGATCACGGGCGGCCGTTCTCGTCCTCGCGCAAGGACTCATGGTGAAGATGAAGCCCCCGACGCGGTAAAAAATTCCCAACTTTCGCCAACCACACCTCTCTCTCCAGAGGTACCGCCCGAGCCACTCCCAAAGAAGGAGAGTACCGCTGCAGGCATCCTCCGTCGCTTCAGTACACGGAGACGCAGGGATCCGGAAAGATCGGATAGAGACCGATCCCATCCGCCTGTAGTCCAGGTTCACTCACCTTCCGAGGCCCCTCCTGCACCAATGCCCCGGAAAAGCTTTAGCATACGTCGCGGCAGACGGGAACGAGAAGAGCCTGACCCTCTCCCGCTTCGATCTGGAAGCAGTCAGCCACAGCACGGTGATCTTCTCAGCCCACCCTTGTCTGCCGGGGGTCAATCGTCGCGGCGCAAAGGTTTGGGTCGGTCCACAAGCGTGAATTCTGCAGACTTGCGTCGCCGTGGATCAACGAGGACACCGAAGGAGCCACCCCCGACGAGTGGCTCGGACCAGTCGACGGCCACCGATCGACCACCACCCGCATCTAGAGACAGCCAGCAAACACGGGCTGCGTCCATGAGAGCGAAATCACTCGGTCATGCCAGGCGCGAGAGTATCCAGCAGCGCAGACTTCGTCGGGAGGAAGCTAGAGAGGCTAATGTGCCGGAGGAAACGGATCAAGAACAAGGCGACCACAGTGGCGTATCCACCGACAGGCTGGACAGCTCAGACTTGGCCAAGCCGGTTTTCCTCAAAGGCTTGTTCAGCGTTTCGACCACTTCTACCAAGAACGTCACAGAGATTCGGGCGGATATCAAGCGGGTGCTCAAGGGCCTCGGAGTCGACTACACCGAGATCAAAGGTGGCTTCTTGTGCAAGCACACACCCAGCATTGACCTCAAGAAAGTACCAGAGGTTCCTGGCAGCCCCGGGCAAGCGCCACCTGGTCACAGGAGACGTTTCAGCTTTGGTGCCATCAGAGGCGGCGACAGGGAACGAGAAGACTTGCCGGCGACTGATCGAGGGCCAAGTACACCGCGTGGCTCTGGGCGAACTGAGGCAGACCACAGTTACTCCAACTCGGACGTCTCGATTGACAGTGTCTCGCGGGAAGCGGGAGGGTCGTCCAGAAGAGTCCCTGGCGAGACGAGCACTCACGTTCAGAGTGATCTTGGCGGAAGTATGGTCCTTGAATTCGAAATATTCATTGTCAAGGTCCCATTGTTGTCTCTCCACGGAATACAATTCAAGCGACTGGTGGGAAACACGTGGCAGTACAAGAATATGGCCGATCAGGTTTTGAGGGAGCTTCGTCTTTAGATGGGCCGGAAGCGTTCAGACACAAAGCGTTCAGACACAAAGCGCGTAGGACATCTGTGGTCAAGAATTAGCTCAGATCTGGGGGCCCGACTCCGGGATACTGGAGCTGGTGGAGGGTATCGAAGGCAAACAATCTCATCGTACGACCTTTTTGACCTTTAACTTATCTGTTTTCTTTTCTCGGTCGCCTTGGCGTCAATCGAGGTGTTTTAGTAGCCAAGTGCCAATCAGTCAGCAACTTTCTGCCTTTGCGAAGGAACGGCATTACTTAATAGGTGCCCAGTAAGGCATTCAGCGGCGGTTGGGTAATGTCAACTAATTCAATTAGGTGGAGGTGTATAGAGAAGTTTAGAAACGTCAATAGTGTGTACGTACGTGCGTCCACTTGATTCTATCTAAAAGCAGATGGCTGTATGATTTGCCACTCCGTCTACGGTAGCCAAGACGTCGGTGCCAGAGCAGAGATGGTCGAAGTCAGAAGCTGTCGCCCAGTCCTTAGATTTCGGCATGAATGAGAAATTTGAGGTTTTCACAGCTACCAGCGCTTCAAGAAAGGGTACTAAGGTTCTGCTGGATGTTGCTGAGAATTATGATGTTGGCCCAGACAAGCGCTCCAGCCCAACATGAGCAGTGGGCAGGCAATGATCCTCTCAAGAACGTTTCCGGACAGCCCACGTAGGTTTCCAAAGCTTCGCAACGTGCGGCATGTTGTTCATCCCTCTCTACGTCGCTGGGCAGACCCGGAAACTTGGAGACATCGCCAGCCAAGGTGGTACCCCTCTATGTTAGTTGAATCCATGATACCAAAGAGCCTTTCTCAGGACTTGAGTCGCACGGGCAAACCCCACATTCAACGCAGCGAATCTGGCCCGGGCAATACTCTACCGAGTTACCCAGGCACGCCTGGGTAGGAAGCGTGGTTGTAGGATACATATTGGGGTCTTACATAACACTGGCCAGCCGCTTTCTCCCATCTTTGACGTCTTCTATATTACCAACCTAGTGTACTTCATGCTGGTCGTGTTGAGGTCATTAGGGTATTAACTAGGTCCATCCGCCCCCGCTGTTACAGGTAGCCCCAAGAGGCTTCTAGGTGTCTGTATTGTGTTCTGCTTTAAGTTACCTTGAGGTGCCTGAGTCGAAGGTCAGGCAGCTTAGGTAATACACGCCGGTGCGACCCAGTGGTGCCTACCTAGTTGCGCGCTATTCTGTCCATGTGCATAAGGCACCTGTGTTCCCTGCCTCCAACGCTCTCCTTACACCTTGCCTTAGCCTGACTACCGACCAATTACCTAACCCTGTCTGGCCTTGCCTTCCTCTGTGTGCCTCATCCTCTCAACCTTACCTGGTTTATTGTTCACAACCTCCACCCTGACCGAGTACGCACAATTGTCCCCTTGAATACGCAGCACCCGCCAAAGGTTTGAAGTACGCGCCACCACGAAATCACGACGGCACAATCTTCGGGCTTCTTTACCCATTACAAATCTGCGATCAAGTCTTTCAACGGCCTCGCGCGCAAGAGCCCGAAGCCCAAAACGCCCGCCCCGCGCGAAGTTGACATCGTCGATCCGCCGCCGCCCGCCGCCCACACATCAGCACTCCGACGAAGTGCTGCAGCCCGTCATCATTACTGCTGCCACAGTTTCAGCCCGAAAAAGATTCCTCGTTAGGAAATTGCGATAGAAATATTCGGTTGCGATCAAGGCAGTGGCTTCCCTCGCTTGAACACTACACATATTTCCGTCGAGAACATACTCTGTAAAGCACACGGATCTGGGACTCGAAGATGATGCCCGCTCAGCACGTTTACGGACACCATCAGTTTAATCCACAGACCGACTCGGCATGGATGCATCAGCAGTCTAATCAACACCACCATGCTCAGCAAGCTGCTGCCGCCGCCGCTTCTGCCGTACAGCAGCAGCAGCAACAACAGCAACAGCAACAGCAACAACAGCAGCAACAGCAACAGCAGCAGCAGCAGCATTATAATAGACTTGCTAGTGGGCATTCTGCGGTTCCGTCTCTTGGCAATGCGCATGCTCCGGAAGGCGGCCACGACAACATATCCGAGGACAATCGAAGAACAATGGCTTACATTGCCGATCTGTTGAGCGAAAGCACTCGCGAGGCGGCCCTTCTGGAGCTGAGCAAGAAGCGAGAACAGGTTCCTGAGCTTGCGCTCATACTGTGGCATTCGTTCGGTAAGCTTTTATGCCTGGAGACGAGTGTGATTGACGCATACTAAACCCAACGCAGGAGTCATGACATCGCTGCTGCAAGAGATTATTTCCGTCTACACTCTCTTGAATCCTTCACAGCTCACTGCTGCGGCTTCCAACAGGGTATGCAACGCGCTAGCGCTTCTTCAGTGTGTGGCCTCCCACAATGACACGCGCACGCTGTTCCTGAACGGTACGCCGCCCTCCATGATTCCTCGAAACGTTACCTGTCCCTGAGCTCACATTTACTAGCCCACATCCCTTTATTCCTCTATCCCTTCCTTAACACGACGTCGAAATCGAGACCGTTCGAATACCTACGTCTGACGTCGCTGGGCGTTATTGGCGCCCTCGTCAAGAATGATTCTTCCGAGGTCATCAACTTTCTGCTCACCACAGAGATCATTCCTCTTTGCCTACGTATTATGGAGACAGGCTCAGAGCTGAGCAAAACTGTGGCGATTTTCATTGTGCAAAAGATCTTATTGGATGACAATGGGCTCAACTACATTTGCGCTACCTACGAACGCTTTTACGCGGTGGGCACTGTCCTTAGCAACATGGTTGCTCAACTCGTTGAGCAGCAAACCGCTCGGCTTCTCAAGCACGTTGTGAGATGCTTTCTCCGGTGAGTTCCCCAAGACTACTCGATTGTTCTAGCTCTCGCTAATGCCGCAAAGATTGAGCGACAACGCGCGCGCGCGTGAGGCTCTGCGCCAGTGTCTTCCAGAGCCCCTCCGAGATGCGACCTTTTCTTCTGTCCTTAGAGACGACGCTGCGACTAAGAGATGCTTAGCCCAGCTCCTCATAAACCTGTCAGACAATGTCGTCGAACCGGCCCAAGGGGGACACCCTGGCCTTTGAGGCCATGGATACCTGACATATTGTAAACGTTCTGGGGCCAACATAGACTCATGCATAACTCGGCGACTTGGAGGTCAGTGATTTCATCGGAAAACGCAAAGCGTCGTAGACGTATCGATACCCGCTTTCTTGCCCAGATGGGGGCATATCAGGCTGATCTGGGATGCATCTTCAACTTGCGCGGACTCTCTTTCTCTCTTTCTCTCTTCACATGTAGCATCGAAAAGGCGGGGGGCAAAAGCAAGGGTTTCTTTTCTCGTTTGGTATCGGCGACGGGGTTGTGTCATTTTGATTATAGGGTAAGGAGCAGGCGGACCTGGAATTGGCGCCGGAGGCTGGGGATGACGTCTCGGGCTTTATGGACACGACCCAAAGATTTCTGTTGACAACATACTTCCTATCCGGGGTCGCGCATGGTAGTATTGGCTTCAGTCGGGCGGTATACTTGTATGAACTGTTCTTCTTGGCAGTGGGGTGGGAGTTGCCATGCTATGTGGCTCGACCTACTCGTGTATGTGTAAAGGGTCAGGTCCATGAATCCAATTTATTCCAACTTATCACCTGTTAACCAACGATTCCTCCTAACACTCTTCGCCTGATCGGTCAAGTGATGTGACCATCGGCAAAGACGATGTCTGGCCACTAACGCTGTGTTTCCTAGCCATGCTACCTCATGTTATTGCGGGACAGTATGATAGCTGTGCCGGGGAGAAGAAGAGGTAATATGTAGTGAATCACTAGCCCTGACACTCTTGGTTGACTTGGGATGCATGACGAGGGCTTCCTCGGCGTAGATATCGCCATCGGCTTTTCCGTGCTTCAGGGTCCTCGTATGCGCCGTGGTCTGATCCCTACCTACGGCATCCAATGCTTCCCTTTGATTCTTGTTTAGGAATCCGATTATGAGGCACGTCATGCGTCGTGGTGGAAGGCATAGAGATCAATGACCGGGATGTGACAGAGCTGTATCCTATGACAAGCAGGCTGTCAATCTACCCTTCAGTACACTCTCCCACTCATGCATTCGGCGAGGGGACTACTTCTCGACTGCAGGAGATTATCTTTCCTGTGATAGAGAATTTGCTCCCGGCAAAACCACTCGGGTGTCCGGGGCCTGTGGTATCCGATGGGCATATGAAAGCCGTTTAGACATGTTCAAGCCTGGATTCTTTGGTAAATGCCATTACTTGGATACTGTCAAATGAACAACTGCCCAACAGCTATCCTGTCAGCTAAAACGGGCGCCCAATCGACGTAAACTCCTCATCTTGCCATGGCTGAAGTATCGACAGGACCTAGTAGCGATTCCATATCTAGCGGTATGAGGCTTTAGTGGCCGTGACCATCGACGGTTCTCCTCGTTATTGAGTATCTCTCAGCTGGCGCTGCCGTTGTTTCCACCGCGAATATACGCGCCAAAGGCAAGATCTCTCTATGTAAGGAATATGTATGGTTTCGTAAACTGACAAGCGTTATTCGTCGCGTCTGCGCATTCACAAGTTCTAGGGCCAAGCTGAATCTAGCTATGTCTTCGCGGGTTTTGCTAAAATTCCTCCTCTGATACATGCTACTAGTGTCTCATATAGTTTATACTCGACAACAATTAAGACGAATGAAGGGTCTCTTCGAGACCGGTGGCTGGTTGGCAACACACGTAAGGTGTTGCCACGGATTTGGCTTTGTTCTTACGAAAGGATGATTCACAAATGATCACAAGATCAATCCGAGGAGCATGGCGACAGGAGTACTGTACTCCCAGAGCCAGGCATTGACAGTCGAAGTCATCGCAGATTACTGAGAGTTTATTACACTCGACGCAGCAGCGTACTATCACTGAAATTGAGGCGTCCTTCCTTTGCCAGTGTCTATATTTACCGTTCCTAAACCCAGGCGCACGACAGAGGCCTCCCAAGGGGTTCTCTGTGATCATTTCTCATCATTCAAGCATTCAATATCCAAGGAGTATGGAGACTTTGACAGAGCAGTCTGATCCGGCCGGACTCATTGAGACGAGCAGTACCATAGATTTGAGCTCTCATATGTGTCCTCTAATGACCGTAGGTGATGGTGGTATCTTGGTTCCTGGTCAGGGTTTCCAGCATCCCGTCGTTTTGTTTCATATTGTGGTCCAGGGAAGATGTTCTAACTCGTAGTAATCACTCAAGAATACTTTGACAGATCGGCCTAGTCTGTAGTTGGGCTTGGATACTCCAGTACGCCATGCACTCGAATTTCACATATGGTATGGCGATGCTACTCAGCTTTCAGCATCCGCAAATATTACCGACAGTTAGACGTTCATTATGTTCGTCAAATGTTCTTTTATTCTGGAGTTTTGGTGGAAATATACTCATTTCTGCATTCACTTTGTTTAGAACTTGCAAATAGAAGTAAGTTGGCGGTTAGGAGGAGCTTAGACGAGAAGAACGAGAACCAGACAACGAATACTCGGTATTCTACACACTGACACATAAGATCTCCGTGCCCTGTAAACGTCCGCCCTTGCGCAAGTAGAGTGACTCCACCAGATAGATACTTGGTTGGGGCCACATGGTCCTCATACGGTTTGGAAGAAATCTGACCCTCCGGAAAATGCATGGAGGTTTCCGTCAGCCCTACGGCCCAACGTGTTCCCAATAGGGTTCTGAGGTAACCCGGCCACCAAAGACATGCTCCGGGGAACCGGGTCTTCCAATCACACCGTCTGGACCGTTTATTCTCCCAGGGATGACAGAAACGGGCAGTTGGTTGCGGAAAGCCGGCCTTCGCAGAGATAATATCAGTTTACTCATCTATGACAAGAGCAGTAGAGTCACAAGACTATCAGTGTTACAAAGTACGACAAAACGCCAGCGGCCAAAGTTCTGCACGCCGGCAGAGGCGTCCTTAGAGCCCAGGTCTCATTCTATTTGAAGTCCGTAGTTCTTATCACTTAGCAAGCTCCGGATCGTAGAGGTGGGCGAGTAGACATGCGAGGATAACCGGGAGAGCAGGTTTAGATTACCCTCCGCCCTAGTTGGAACTGTACAACGCAGCAAAGCTGAATGAAAGCCAGGCAGGCCCTTCCATGATAGAACGGGAGATGAGGCCCGCTCATGGCACTCGGTCAACCAAACAAGTGCAGTGCGCACACGAGGCGTAGTAGATGCCCTCGATTCTCACATGGGGTCGACAATACACCTTTTGGTGCGGATAGGCCGAAGAGCCTTGTGAAGCGAAGACTGTGTGGAGTTTTGTTCGGGGGCCTCGGGGCCTTTTGTAAGCCAAGCTCCCATTGGAGACGAGTACGAAGACGCTATAGAGGTCGGCGGAAGGATTGATCATCAGCGTTACCACGAGGCATCGTGGGTGTGTCTGGAACAGAGCGCGCGCCGTGTTTGTGCGTCTTGGGCAAGCGCGAGTATCAAGTTTGAGAGGGCAAGGGGCATGCTAGAGGAGCCAGCTCTTCGGCATCCAAGGAAAAGCAAAGACTGAGCTGCGGCGGAAGTCCAGTCAGAGGCTTACAAACTCAGCCTTAAAATACACTTCCAATCATCGGCCAGAGGCTGGCGCCCGTCTACGCGGGCCGCGTTGGGCTCATAATCGACGTCCATTTCGAAATGGGAGCATATCTCCCCAACACCAAGGCAGCTATCCCATCAACTGCTAGATGGCGTCAGTGCATAGGTAGGTACTTTACTAGGGGAATAGCGAACAATCTAATAGTCCGACCTTCTTTCCCTTCTATTTGCCTCTGAATAATCTCGAAATAGAGCAAATTTAGAGAAAGATTGGAGACGAATGTAGTGACGCCATCCAACAGTTAATGGGATCACTGATTTGTCACTGCGCACGGAATAAGGCGGTCTGTTTCTTGTATCTGGAACTGCTCGAAGGGGTGAAGTAGACGAGGCTCAGGCGGAGATGGTGGTGGCAGCGGCAGCGACAGCGACGATGGCCTGCAGCTAGGTGATGTAAACTCCGCCGCACTTCCGTTGTGAATTCAAGACATTGGCAACCCGTGCCTGCGTATTGGGGTCCAAAACAGACGGTCCACGAGAACGTGTGACACGAAGATGGGAGCAAAGCTAAGGATTGCGAACGCCATTCGCCAGCCCTACGAGCCTGCGTCTCATTTTCCGTGACAAATCTATCGGATCCGGCTTACTTTCGTACTCGTCGAATGACCAGAGGAGGTGACGATGCCTTATGTACCGCCTGAAGTCTGCTGCCTGGTATACGCAAGGTTCCTACGTCCTTCATTGGGCTGTATTATAGCAAAGAGCAAGATGCAGATGCACCTCGAGTTCTCTAGATGCCTAGGTAGTGTGATGCAAATCAAAGACCAATTATGGATTATATCAACGAAGAATCTACTAATGAGTCAATCGCAGGCTTTCTCTTATCAAACGGAATAGCGCCCACTGTATCGAGGGAAAATGGTGGATGGGTTCAAGGTCAGCTCAAGGTCGAGTGGATGGTGTAGTTGACCGTGAGACGTCTGTCTGTAGTCTGTTGATACGGAGCCGAAGACGCTAGTACCAAAACGCGCACCGTTCTCTCGAGTCGCACAAAACGGTATGGTGCTCTAAGGTTCTGAGGAAGGCGCAGTGCTGGTGCAGGTTCACTTGCAGGTGGTGCAGGTGCAGAGCGGGTGCTGGTGTGGAGCGGGTGCGGGTGTGGAGCAGAGAAGCGAAGGTAGGTACGTATCTCGTACGGACACTGAGAGACAGAGCGACAGAGGGTGCAGGGGTCTTCCGCCCAGTCCTATTCTATACCTTAGCTCATTACGTCCAGACCCCTGTCTTCCGCCTTTTCACCACCAAAGCTCGAGGGGGCACACCAAAATCTGGCGGGAATTGGCGGTGGCTCGTCCATGTCGAATTTCGGAGGGGGGAAAAGATGGCTGCGACCTGATTGGATGGCATGCCGTTAATCCGGACACGGCGAATTTCCCCCGTCTGCACTCGTACCTGAGGTTCCTCACCTTGGCCTCATATCCGTACTTCGTACACACACGGCTCTACACCACATCACACACTACACTACACACATACACAAACGCACACATCACACACATACGGATACAACTCATTCTTGTTATTGTACCTTGCCCTACTTACAAATCACCTACATATGCCCGTTGGCATATGGTGGTGCCATCAATGTCTTTTCTCGGTACGCCGCTGAAGTTCAATTT